GCCCATTACACGCTAGCATTCTGTTACGACCAGAGATACCGCTTGATGGCATCGTGGCATCCGAAGCGGGACCAGAAAATTTACACAGAAAATAAATTGAATTTGAGTACTTGTTGTGTTATTCTTGTGTTAGGAAATAAAGGATGGGTATAGTAAAATATAGTGATGTGACGTTCGGCACCGAGGCTTCGAAGCTTGTATAAAAAAATGAACATGAACCACTGTACCGGAGCTTGATTCGTTTTGCCATAACCATGTGATCAGTGACGTCCGAAGCTTCGTTTCGACACACAACCACGTGACTGCTTCATATTCTGAATCAAAAATAGCGCAAACCCCTTGCGCAGGTTTCGAGTGTCATGCTTCTACTACCGAAGCGGTAGTGAAACGAGGCCGTTCGGAAGCCTGGCAGCATTTTCAGGTCGTATCAAGTCCCATGTGAGAGAATATTCTCAAAGGCAGGGGCAGTGGCGGTCTTAACATAGAGGCATAGGCAGTGGCGGTCTTAACATAGAGGCATAGGTAGGCGGCTGCTTGGGGCCCCCTACCAGCGGTCGTAGTAGGGCCCCTGTAATAGGCGCCCTTTGTTTAGTCACGAGGCGTTAAACGTCGGCGAATAACGCGCGCGAAATTCGTCCCGGTGTGAACAGGCCTTTAGACTGAAAGGGCAAAAGTAAATATGACATTTATTATGGGTTTATCTGATGATTGTTTTAAGTTCACGTAAATTAAAAGTTGTTATATATTTTTTGAAGCCTAACAAAATGTAATTTTTTTGGCTTTCAATTACACTGTAATGTTGGATGGCATGGCTATAATTAATGTTTAAAATTAGGGGAAAAAATATTTTCTATCCAGACATCAATAGCTGTATTAGTATCAGTGATACTGACCTTCATTCATAAAAAGATGCCATTAAACAAGTATTTAAAATATACTGTCTTTATGTTGTCTCTACATTCATTTGTAGATTAACTGTGAAATTATTACATTATAAAATATATAAACTAATACAAACCTATAAAAATGTTTGTTTGTAGAATGTTTGAAATGTCAATCTCATGTGCAATGCCAATTGCAACCTCACTCACTCAAAGTCAATTATTCATCTTGGCAATATTTGCTAAGTATATGGCTGTTTGTGGGGGTTTACCCTAACTACTTGTCTTGCTGGTTATATTGATATTGATTTGATCTTAAAAAAAGAAAAAACAGTGCTGGGTTTCCTGGCATTTTGGCAAAGACAGGTGTTATCTGAAACCTTATTCTCTGTCGGGGAAGGCTTTTTTTTCTCCTCTCCAACCTTTACTTCCCTGTAGATTAGCTTTTCCTACCATTCAGTCAGTAAAATTTTTTTTCCGTTCTCATAAAGATGGGATGGGGGGGCCCCCATCCGTACCTTCGCTTTGGGCCCCCAATTTGCTAAATCCGCCACTGGGCAGGGGAAGTAGTAAATAAAAAAAGAAATAGACTTAGCCCTCACACTGTTGAACAAGTCCTATTCCTTAGTAAAAAATCTTTAATTTCTTCAATTACACAACTCCCCAGTTCACAAGCACTTTCACTACCCAGCCTTTCACCATTCCACAATAGCTTTCTTTTTGATTACAGTATGCATATATGAGCCTTGCCTATGAACTCATAGGTTTAGGCCTATGACTAAAGTTAAGGCTGCATTTGTTAAACAAAGCAGAGTTAATTTGTCCTATGTATTAATTCTTTCATAAATTAATCTCTCATTTGTTCATATTGTGTAAACATCAACACTAACACTGATGATTATATTGCTTTGTGGTTTTCATAGCACAAAGTGATTTATAACATAAAACAAAAAATAGAAAAATTGGGAAAGGTAGCTTTTCTACCTTTTGACCACAAGATGTCGTTAATGTGCACCGTGTTGAAAAGCTTCGAGTAATGAACCAATTTACGATACACTTGAGAGGAAAGCCTCATTGATTCACAAAGCTTCATTTCCCCATCACTAGTAAAATAGCCAGCTGATGGGTAACTTTCGCCAAAAATCCAACGACCATTAATACTGTCTGTCTGTCTGTGTGTCAGTGTGTGTATATATAGGCCTGTGTGTGTGTGTGTGTGTGTGTGTGCGTGTGTGTGTGTGTGTGTGTGTGTGTGTGTGTGTGTGTGTGTGTGTATTTTCGGGGTGGTCTTTTAAAACAACAAAACAAAAACTCTTCTAGCACGTGTATTTACCTGTGTCAGCTGTGTTGTCGGTGCCTCGAGAGAAAAGAAAGTGCAGACAGAGCCCGTCTAATGTCCCTTATTAGACATTCCCTGGTGCAGAGCGCGAAAGCACCAAAGTGACTGAAGGATTGCCGTAAAGCAGTATCTCATCTCTGGTCGTACGATGTGTATGACGTCATTGACATTTTAAAATACTTTTTAAAGCAAAGTGACTCTAAAAAATCTAACACCCAGCAATGAGTAATTTCTTTGAATCTCCTTTCGAATACAACATTCAAATTACTAGCCAAAAATTTTTTGTGGGGTATCTCCATATAGCCTATACCTCCATTCATTCTGCACTCGTCCTGTGAGCGCCCTCATATGGAGCCAGATACGCGCAGGTTCTGCACAATACACGGTATTTTATATATCATGATGACTCACAAGTTATTTGCGCCTAATCTGCTCAGATTTGGCTTACACGACCTTCCCCAGCAAAGTGAGTAACATAATGGGCCCTATCATACACCCTGCATGCAGCGCCAGGTGCTACGCAAGTGTTTTTTCCTAGTTTCCGCCTGACGCAGTTATCATTTTCACATGCAAAATAGCAAGCATTTGCGCCCATGTGCGCCCATGGGCGTGTTGGTCTGAAAAAGAGGTGTGTTCAGGCGCATTGATGGTGAGTTGCTATTTTGGGGCAACTGAAAGAGACTGCACCATTGACCAACTGAAACCTGGTCTAAAGTCAATGGCGCAATATTTTTTTGTTATTTAAAGAGCTTGTTAGTAATGTAGCCTACACCTATAGGCGGGTGACGGTCCACAACGCGCGTATACTATGCTTATTTAACACACAGGGACGCGCAGCAGCACACAAACATGCCAAATATTAAAATTAAAAGGTGAATATAAAAAAATATATATATAAAAAATTAAAATGTAAAATATTATTATTGAGTACATAAAGATATGATGGAATCCGGCTTGTCCCGCATAGTCTGCTCGCACGCGTTAACCTCGCGTACGAGTGCAACTGGAATTTAAAGGCAATGGGAGATGAGACCCTGATTGGTTTATTGCACGTAAATCCCATAACACACCCATTACTCATTAAGAGAATAGAGACAACCCTTTTAGACCATGCCTGGCGCGCCGACCAAAAAAGGCAAAAAAGTTCCCGAAATAACCCGATTTGTACAGTTGCATCTTTCTTTTACCTGCACTTACAATTTTGGCACGATTCTCTCACTCATTGAGTTTTGCAAGCGCGAAGAGGAGGGAGGGTCCACCTTCTTCATAATGAGCTTCTGGCTGACTTTAGTTTTACTCTTATCTGATTGGTTCAATAAACACGCCAGTTGCCAGAACACATCTTTATCTTCATTTGGATCGTTCTCGTTGCCGAAATTGTACTTTTAATGCACACATAGGCCTACATGTTAAATAAATAAATCATGATTTCTTAATAAGCTGTGCACCATTAGGCTGACTATGAGTTAAAACTGAATTTTGCGCAGCTAAAAGAAAGACACAACTGTACAAATAGGGTTATTTTGGGAACTTGTTTGCCTATTTATTTTGCATAAGCATGAAGCTGCAGTTTCACAATACATGCATTACACTTAAAAATAACAGTTAAATGCAGCAAATATTTTTACACCTTTACAAATCTTCTCTTTCGCACGCATATTTTATTTACGCTTGCAATCTTATGTACACTTTCACAAATCTTACCCTGCGATTCTTTATGGCATTATTTTACCTTCATAGTTACCCGCCACAATTTATTTTTACCCGCATTTGGCGGGTGTTAATTTCAAACCCTGATCATCAAATACATAATTCACCCACTATATTGCTAAATGTACCTGAATTTTTTTATATCACCAGAAAAATATACCGGGCTTAACAGGCTCTCTTGAGACTCCCCTGCTTTCCAGTTAATTATATGCTAAAAAGCCCACCCACATGTTTTCGTGATTGGTTAAGGTATGTTGTGATGTCAGAAACACCTGCGTCTTTTTTTCACTTGCAGTTTTAAGGAGAAAAACTCAGCCATGGTGTTGATTATGACTTTGCATTTTCTACACAAAGGGGTCTTCAACATTAATGACAGACAGTATTAGGGATTGCTGTCACTTTAAGATCTGCTGCTGCTCGTGACACGGATCTCACACGCCTCACACTCTTTACGTTCATTTAAGACTTTATTGAACTCATTTAAGACTGCTCTTATGAGGATACTGGACAAAACTTACATTGTGGCATAATTGTGTGTTTTCTGTTCGTTCAAGCGCAAAAGAGAACTCTGCATGGCGCACTGTCTATGCGCGCGCGTCTTTCTTTGTGTCGTGTGTGTGTGTGTGTGTGTCACATAGACAGTATATTCGCAAACAGCCCGTTTTCTTTTTGTCTTGTCGCGCTTGAATGAGGGTGATCATAATGTAACGCTACCCAAAAAGGATGACAGATTACCTTGGTTATACATTTCACTTTTTGTCTTTTTTAAAAATAAATGGTTTATCTTCAGAGGAATAAAAATATATATATTTAAAAAATAAATAAGGGAGTTGTGACATTACATCTCTCAGTTGTGACAAAATTTTGCAATTGATTTTTCATAATTGTGATTTTATCATAATGCAACTACACGTCTTTTATTCACTTCTTGGTTTATTTTAAATGACCAGATTTGGTTTTTACTTTGAGGGAAACACAGGAAAACAGCAACTCAGTCAAATAAAGAACAATGAACTTTGCTGGAATTCTACACATTTAAATCTACACTTCCTGCGTATTCAAATCAGTACCTCCATGTTCACCCAGTGACTGCCATCAATGGGGAAAACCAGGATCTTGTCGCCATTATAACCACAGGGTAAAGAGAGAAGGATGGATGTCCAAAGGAAAATGAGGAATGCGTATCCACACATTCTTCTCTTTTTCTTCTCTCAAAATAACAAGAACAATCAGCATGAACATCACTTTAAATTTCTCTATAATACAAGTAATGTGTACACAACATTTAAAAAATGATTAAAATGTAGACTGTCAATTTATTTTATATACCTGTTTTGTTTAGGTTACATACCTCAGTTGAGCCTTTTGCAGTTTCAGTCGCACAAAAATGTTGCTGCACGTAAAAAAAAGCCTTCACAAAGTCTCTGAGAGATTATCTTCCCTATTGAACATAATTCCTTCATTTGGCAAAAGAATTTTGTTGTGAAACATTTCTTAGTCCAAGTTCTTTCTGACCAGCATGAAATGCAAAAAATGTGTTATGATGTTATGTTGAATTGCACACATAAATTTACATTTTTAAATTGTCTATATACACACAACACACTTCAAATTCTCTTACAATTAAATGCTTTAGTTTTTGACAAATCTCAGTTTCCATACTGCATACTGTAAATGTGCAAACAGCATATCCGTTTATGAAAATCAGTTTTCTTCAGAATTGAGGTGTCTGCTCACTTCTGCTATTTAAGACTCAAAGTTATTCACAGACAAGATCCCTTTAAAATAATAAAACAAAAATCAGCAGATTAAGAAAAAAAGACTTCTATAACCAATTAATCAGATGTTTTTTATTATTATTTGAATAATTATATCATTTGAATAAGTCTGATTACATAGGTACTATATATTAAAGGAATAAACAAATAAAGACACGGGCACACAAAATAATTTGTATTGATTAAGCTGCTAATTTATACTATACAATGTTATACTATATGGATCACCTAGTTGTGTGTGCGTGTGTGTGTGTGTGTGTGTGTGTGTGTGTGTGTGTGTGTGTGCGTGTGTGTGTGTGTGCGTGTGTGTGTGTGTGTGTGTTGCTCTGGTAAACCCTACGGTATGGGGACAAAATGTCACATATCCAAAATCCTTGTGGGGACATATTTTGGTCCTCGTGAGGAAAACAGTTAAAAAAAATCATGTGGTTCAAAATGATGTTTTATGAAAATGTAAAAAATGCAGAAAGTTTTTTTGTTAGTGTTGTGTTTAAGTTTAGGGGATAGAAAACAAGGGTTTGTACAGTATAAAAATCATTATGTCTATGGAAAGTCCCCATAAAACTTGGAAACTTAACATGAGTGTATGTCACAAACATCTATATTATATTTAACAACTGTTGTGACCATAGTTGGACCAGTCTGAATTGGTTACATCACTATTGCAGGAGCTGCTACCGGTCCCAAACTAACCGTCTGCTGTGTAGAGACAACTCGAGTGGTGGTTGACATTGGTTGAATCACAGTAGGTAAGGTTTGCACTATGGTGATGTTTTGTTTGTGTGCTTTGATTTCTCTACTCAACTGACACCACATACACCAGATGCAACAGCAAGACACCATGATGTCATCGCAGATATTGCCCTGTTGCAACACAAACAAACAAATTATTGTTTTGTGGCCTTCTTTCGTTTATTGGTAAAAGCGAAGGAAAACTCACCCCAATATCATATTTGTAGCGAACTGCCACCCTCATTCCCAGACTCACAGGCGGCACACATGTTGGAATCTCGAAAAAAGCCAGGAAACCTGGGCCGAATATGTCCAGGAGAGGCAGACAGGTGCCCTCCCCAAAATCACCAGTGACGGAGCACATAAAACAAGGAAAGCACCAGAACCCACAGCAGCCTGAGGACAACATAAAAAAAATATTAAAAAAACGGGATATCATTTGTATTATTTTTAATGAACAGTAAAAATGGTGCTGAAGTATTTATTATAAGGCCTTTAAATGGAATTAGCATCCTTACAAGAATTCATGTCCTGGCAACAGTCACACAATCCTGAACTCCATCCTCTATGAGTATTGATGTAACGTTGCTGCATCATTAAAGCCGCCATTGTGAAGTGACCTTACTGATATGGAGGAATGACAAAAATTCTCAGTGATTCTCACTGATCCTAGTTATGTACGGTTTTTTAAACTATCCTGTAAACTGAATTGTACTGAAAATCTACACATCCTCACTTTAAAAAGATAACTTATTACTAGCAATTTTTGGAGTTGACCCAACTCAAATCGATTAGTTTACCCAAGAAAGCTGGATTTAAAGAACTTTGGGTTACACTTTACTTTACAGTTCCTTTGCTGTACGTTACATGGATATGTGCAATAGTAGTAACATTAAATTATGCATAATTGCATGAAACTAACCCTAAACCAAACCCTAATCCTAAAACTATAGTAAGTACATGTTGCTAATATTACTCAGTCCTTAAATACATATTAAATATAACTAAAGTGTAACAAAAGCATAACAGGCAGTGTATTGAACATAGGCTTAGTAATGCAATAAATTATAATTGGTTATTAATCCTTTAATGCAATTTTATTCTATTAGTTTTTTTTTCTTATACAGCAATGCATGCTGGACAATTATTGGAAATTGTTTTGTATGCATTGGTAAACTTTCAGGTCACTGTGTTCAAATGGCCCTGTCTGGCAAGTTTTACCAAACTATTTAAGTAAAGTTTCGTTTCATATTCAAAAATGATCACTTGCCAATTAGTTTCCTATAAGGCCTGAACCGGTTCCACTGGGTTTTGTTTTGTTTGCTGCTTGTCAGAACAGTGAATGTATATGAATGAACAAAACATAACTGACATTACAAAAACGGCATTTAACTGCAAAAATCTTCATTTATTCTCAAATGTCTGTTATTAATAACTTCTCAAGTATTCTGAGTAATGATCACAGAAATGCTTAAATCACTAAATCTATCAATCAAAGATTATTTAATTAAAGATCGTTTTCTTTTTTAATCTTACAAAAAATTAAAATGATTCATTCGTAACTATTTTCTGTTTTGTGCAGCCTGTAGCTCTACATATTGAAAACAAAATAAGACCATTTCTATCATATTTAGGTAACACTTTACAATAAGGATAACATTAGTTAACATGAACTAACAATGAAAAACACTTATACAATACGTATAGCTAAAACAAAATGTATTTGTACATATTTTTTAATGGACCTGAGTTAGCTCACAAGATTTAACGATGAACAGTTGTATTTGTATTAACTAACATTAACAAAGATTAATAAATACTGTAACAAATTACACAGGCATTACATTAACTAATGTTAACTAATGGGCCCTAATTGTACATGCAAACACGTACAGATGATTTAACTTAAATAAATTTCACCCATAAACATTGTGCAACCTTATCAAGTTAGTGATATGCAGGTTTTTTTTTTTTTTTTTTTTTGTAATTGGAATTTGCAATTATCAAGACACACAAATGAAATATAACATTTGGCATATGAGAAATATGTAACATTTAAAATTCTAAAAACAAATAAAACAAATTCTCACTGTATAACTTTTTTTAAAAGACAGCCACAGTAAGAGTGTAAACAGTGTAAACATTTGATTTAACTGCTACAAAAAATGAGAAAAGATAAGGCTTACTTACTCTCTCTAGTGCAACCTCTCCCTTTTCTGTCCAAAGAAAGTGAAAGTGGACGCATTTATAAGTGCAAGATCTCATGTGAGAGAAAAAAAAACACAGAAAATATGCAGCTAAACCTGAATCTTCACTATTAATGACGTAAATAGGGCCTAGTGGTGGAAAAAAAGGTTGTCTGATTCAACACAATGAATATGATGGAATCTCTCCACCTCTTGCGGTTTGAATTCTTACAAGAGAGACATAAAATTTAGAGTTCACCACTGTTCTGCTTTCCCCCTTATTTACCTCAATGACAAATGTTTTTAAATGATTGCACCCGAAGCGTATTAACAATCCAAGGTCAATTAAAATGTAATGAACATTGTATGTAAACTAGAGGCAGTTTGTCAGCTGATCTATGGGAATCAAAAATACAAACAAACAACAAGAACAAAAAATGAACATACAGTGCACAGTACAAGCAAGAGGTGGTTTTTAGTCGCCATGCAGCAGCACACCAGCGCCAGATAAACATTGACAAAAAAAACAGCCTTTCTTCAAATCTCACTCTCTCTCCACCATCATGAGTGAACACTATGCTGATTGGCTACGAGTGTGTTGTGACACTTGTCAGATCCACTTTCAACAGTTTCTTGAAACCGCTTACTACACCTTTAAAGGGTTAGTTCACCCAAAAATGAATTCTGTTAGTAATTACTCACCCTCATGTTGTTCCAACCCCGTAAGACTTTCGTTCATCTTCGGAATACAAATGAATATATTTTTTATTAAATCTGAGAGCCAGCCCAGAAAAGTAATTAAAGACATAATTAAAATAATCCAAGTGACTACAGTGGCTCAATCTTAAGTTTATTTGCAAGGTTGCTGACAAACACAAAAAAGAGGGATCATATATCCCCTATTTTGGCCTCGTTACACTGGCTACCAGTTCATGTTAGAATAAAGTACAAGGTACTTTTATATACTTTTAAAGCTCTACATGGACTGGCACCTAAATATGTTTCTGAACTTATACATTTGAGTTGCTCACAGAGATCCCTGAGATCACAAAATCAGCTACTCCTTGAAATTCCTCGGTCACGCTTAAAAACTAAAGGAGATCGTGCTTTCTCAGTCACTGCTCCCAAGTTGTGGAATGGGTTACCAATGTTTATCAGATCCTCTACTTCTGTAACCATGTTTAAATCTCAGCTTAAGACATATTTGTTTGATGAGGCCTTTGCTGACCGCTAGATTTTGAATTTATATCTATAGTATTGTACTACTTAATTTTTATATTGTATTCTTTCTTATATTTTATTGTGTTTTATCTAATTCGTTTGAAATTGTACAGCACTTTGGTACACAGTGTGTTTTTTAAGGTGCTGTATAAATAAACTTTGATTTGATTTGATTTGATTTATCAAGCGAGGATAATACTTTTTGTGCTCAAAACCCCCCCCAAAATAACGACATTATTCAACTATTCATTTCCTTCTCTGTGGGCCTCGAGATAGTTCACATAGTGTAACAGCACAGCGCTTCTGTGTTGTACGTCACACGCATCACACACATGGCGAGCGTCGGCCAATAGTGAGCCTACGTTTGACGTACAACACAGAAGCGCTGCGCTGTTACACTACGTCAACAGCTTAGGACAGGGGTAGGCAAGTTCGGTCCTAGAGAGCCGCTGTCCTGCAGAATTTAGTTCCAACCCTAATCAAACACACCTGAACAAGCTAATCAATGTCTTCAGGATTCCTAAGGCTATAGGCAGGAGAAGTCTTTTTTCAGTGTTGGAGCCAAACTCTGCAGGATAGCGGCTCTATAGGACCGAACTTGCCTACCCCTGGCTTAGGAGAATGACATGGAAGAGAAGAGATGGTTGAATAAAGTCATTATTTTGGGGGGGTTTCGCGCACAAAAACTATTCTCGTCGCTTGATAAACTTAAGATTGAGCCACTAGTCACTTGGACTGTTTGAACGATGTCTTTAATAACTTTTCTGGGCCGGCAAGTTTCAATCCCTTAGAAGCCTATGGAGGAGTGATCCAGCTCTCAGATTTAATCAAAAATATCTTAATTTGTGTTCCGAAGATGAACGAAAGTCTTACGGGGTTGGAACAACATGAGGGTGAGTAATTAGCCTACTGACAGAATTTTCATTTTTGGGTGAACTATCCCTTTAAGAACAATGTTATTTACTTTTTTTAATTGTAACATGCTTAGATAAATGTTCAGCCTGTGCAGGATGGTGTTTATATCTCGCAATTCTGACTTTAGGCTATATAACACGCAATAGGGAGATATAAAGTCCAAATTGCATGTTATAAAGTCAGAATTGTGAGATACAAACTCACAATTCTGATAAGAGTCAATCTTTTTTTTTCTAGGAATTTGACTTTATAACTCGCAATTGCGAGTTTATATCTCACACTTCTGAGAAAAGATTTTAAAGGAACACTCCACCGTTCTGGGGTGCGTTTCCCGAAAGCATCGTTAGCCAACTATGGTCGCAAGTTGGTTGCAAATCCCACTGAACTCTATTGGTAACGACGGAACTTGCAACCATAGTTGGCTAACAATGCTTTCGGGAAACGCACCCCTGGCTGGCTCTGTGGTACCTGATGTAAGATAAGTGATCAGCACGAACACAAATACTTATTAGTTGAAATCTTGACGGATCTACAAACGGTTTGGTTTCATACAAACGTTATTAACGTAGCTATAATTCTGGATGATTATTTATTTATACACTTATTATTCATAAGTATGCAGTGCCATAACTACATCTAAGACGTTTATAACAAACCAAACCGTTTGAAAATCGGTAGAAAATTGAGCAAGTTATGGTTATTTAAAAAGTACATGCACCATTAAAACACAATGTTAGTGAGCGAGCTGCCTGTGACAAGATGGCCGCCAGGTGCAGACGTCGACCTCCATGGCCAGCACAGCGGACGAGACATCTATTATGGATATCTATGGATACAGCAACCCCATAGATTTCAACGGAGAAAAGTGAAGCCAATTAGAAGCACTGATGGCTGAGCGTACTGGGCATGCTCAAACTGAGCTTGATGACGTAGATGTGACGTGAGCAACCTGTCTGACAGTTGTAAGTCTTCTAGTAGCTGTGCCAAGAGGAATCTGAATTACCTAATCTTGCAGAGACGTTGTTGAAATATGTATGGACTCTCTATCCATGGGCTTCTCCCTTGACTTTATGCCTCCATGTCCCACCTATTGCCTCATAGACAGTAAAAGATTGCCTGCGAGCTTCTCCGGTCTATACGGTAATTTCTCTACTGTGCGACAGAGTCGCGTGTTATGACGCAATCGTTAGCCTATTTTTACAAAAACGGCTTCTATGGGGCCATAACGTAAGATACAAAGTAATGGAGCCTTTTATACATTGTTGTGTTTCTTTAGTGGACAAATTT